CACGTATGACTCATCTGAGATGAACATATCACGTATGACTCATATGAGATGAACATATCACATATGACTCATATGCATATCACATATGACTCATATGAGATGAACATATCACATATGACTCATATGAGATGAACATATCACGTATGACTCATATGAGATGAACATTTCACGTATGACTCATACGGACAGTACTCCCGCATCCTTGTGCGAGCATTGTGGCATGCGCAGTGGCTGTTATCACGGCTTAGACCTGTCCTCCAGTTGCGCTAGTTCGGTGACTGATGATACAGACACACTCTGTTTCTCACCGAAGTCGTCTGTGCTCTCTATACTTTCGTCCACACTCACATCAGCCGCATCTTCGAACTGCGACAGCTCAGGCAACTCCCACCCACAACACGCGCAGGCCATCCGTATGGAACAGCCTAATAAGGAAGCGATGGCATATGCACATGTAAGCGTACGATGGGCACTAGACAATCTCATTCCATTCTCTCGTGTGGAATCATGCAGGGACTGCGTGAGACATGAACGACCAAAGTACAGAGAGCACTTGAACAGATAGGGCGGGTTTTGGGACTGTAAACTGTATGCTATGCGGTCTATCATCAATGTGAACGCTACCGCTACTACACTGATGTCTGAAGGATTCAGCCGCAGCCAATCCAAACATAGTCATAGTCCTGCACAATTAAGCATAACATTACAGCAAAAACTCAGCTGCTATCGTTAAATATGTAACACACACTAACTACATGTGTAACACGCACTACTAACCCCATGTGTAACACACACTAACTACATGTCCTTGCAACCTTCACAACAACAACATTCCTGTCCTCTACTCAACTACTACGCTGGATGATCTGCTACAACAAGCCCCAAGATCCGCTGCTATGCACAGTACTCCTATCAATTGCAAGCCACACATCACAAGACAAGAAATACCATGGCAAACAACAGATGAGCTCAAGTGCCAAGGATATCTACCTCTACCTAGAACACCTACCTAGAATCTCTCCCACTACAGACGATCCTAAGGCCATCGCAAAGTAGTCCCATGCGTACATGTTGCCGTACCAAGCATACACAAACCCATCCCAGAAGGAGCCAGGGGTGTTAGCTACACCATAGATGGTTACAGACGCACCGGCAAACAGCATCGCAAACACCACCCCAAACTCAGTGATGTACCGCTCCACATTATTCCAGCGGATCAAACCTGTGCATACGAAAATATGGGATATAGCCAGCATCAGATACATTGCTATTGGAGAGCACATCCATAATACCACAGTAGTCATCAGTGCAACAGCCTACTAACAAAACCATGATACCACAGTAGCCATCAGTGCAACAGCCTACTACCACATCCATGATACCAAAGTAGTCATCAGTGCAACAGCCTACTACCACATCCATGATATCACAGTAATCATCAGTGCACCAGCCTACTACCACATCCATGATACCACAGTGGTCATCAGTGCAACAGCCTACTACCACATCCACGATACCGCAGTAGTCATCAGTGCAACAGCCTACTACCACATCCATGATACCACAGTAGTCAATAGTG